GTTGGCCATATGGGAGTCCAGCACCTTTAACCACCATGCCACTTGCCGGCCCCTAAGACCCCTTTTTTACTTGTAGCCTATCCCCAGGCAACTACTACCTACTACCCACTTTCTGACTCTATAGATTTGTTTATTCTGTTCTTTTCATATAAATGAAATTATATAATCTGAGGTTTTTTTTTTTTTGCAAGAGGATATGTGCACTTGCCAGAGAGAGAGAGAGAGAGAGAGAGAGGGAGGGAGGGGGGGAGAGAGAGAGAACCTTTTCCCCAGAGGGAAATGGTCACACTGTGATCCTTATCTGTCATTTCTCATCCCATCAGGTTTGGGGACATGCACACACATGTGCACAGCATGTTTTTCAAACCATTAGGGCTAGGAAAGAACTGCAGTCGGCCATGTGGGATCTGGCTTTCTTTGCACAGCCTGTAACTGCTGTGCTATATATAGCACTGGCCCTAATATGCAATTTTTTTAAAGAGAGATTTTTGCTAAAGGGCACATGCGGTCTTTGGAGAGGCAGAGAAACAAAAAGCATTCACCTAGAGGGAATGGTCATGCTGCAATCCCTTCTCCTCCATTTTCCTCTCAGGATTTTGGGCACAAACACACGTGTGTCCAGTGTGAGTTTTAAGCCACCAGGTCCAGGACTTGAACCATGGTTGACTACATGGGAGTCTAGCAACATAACCACTATGCCATCTGCTTGTCCCCCAGTATGTGATTTTAAAGATTACTTAAGACCACACCAATCTCCTTTCTGACCTTAAATGTGATTTAATCTTTGCTATATATTGGGTTGACAGAAAAGTCATGATGTATTATTCTATGCAAAAATATGTCTTGACTATTCCAACAACTCAGTAGTTAGAACTTTATATTTCTTACAGTATTTTCTAAATATGTCATATGTGTAAATCTTCTTTGCGTACTAGCAGTAAATCCATCAAAGATAGGGACCTTTAAATAATTTGTTCATTCATTCATTTACTCAAACAATTAGTGTTCTTTTTTCCCTTTGTATTTCAAAGATCATAGATAATAAATTTTTTTTCTTTGAATGTTTGCTAAGCAGCCAGAAGGTGACATACTCTATTCCCTAGTCCTAGCCCCTGAACCAGAGGGTGGGTGTTGGGAAGATACATAGACCAAAGAGGGAGTGGAGCTAAGAGTGCAGCCAGTTGCATATGTGTATCCTTGGTGTAGTGGCTTCAGAACTAACGGAGGCCCAGAACTAACAGTCTCCCTCCCTTCCAGATATCATGAGGGTATAATAAATAATTGTGATTTGACTCAAACAAATACTTCTCCAACCAGTGCCTTAATTTGACCCTGTTGACTCATGTTATTGCCTTAAACTATCTCTTGTTTAAACCAACTTCATTTATTGAAAATAATGGGACCAGCAGTTAGCCTAATGGCTATGTTGCTGAACTCCCATGTAGTTGACTGCGATTTGAGCCCTGGACCCAGTGGCTTAAACTCATGCCGGGTATGTGTGCTTGCATGCCCAAGATCCTGAGAGGAGAATGGAGTAGAAGAGATTGTGGTGTGGCCATCCCCCCGGGGTGATTTCTCACTTTCTCTCTGTCTCTCTCTGTCTTTCTGGGGAACACGCAAGCCCTATAGCAAAAACCTCTCCAAAAAAAAAAAAAAGAAAGAAAATAATATTCACAAATGTATGTTAATTTTTTACATTTAATATTTCATAATTTATTTTTAGAAAAAGGGTATATTCTAATTAGCATTAATTTGAACATACTTAGTACTTTGTTTAGCATAATTTTGTCTTTTTTCTCTTTCTCTGCTTTCTGTTGGGTTAATTAAACTTTCTTTAATTTCCTTTATTTTTAAGATTTTTAAACATGTATAATACAGTGTGTGTGTGTGCACACATAAGAGAGAAAGAGAGAGCAACAGGAAGAGAGAGAAAGCATCCCTGGCAGAGGCTCCCACAAGGATCCGCTTTCCCCAGCTCTCCACCCTATCAGGATCTTGGGTACCTACATGTGTGCCTGACAAATTCTCAGGCCAATCTGGAAATCCAAACCCATGGTCAGCCACATGGCTCCCACACTGCAGTACAGTATGCTATGGACTGAGCCACCTAGGCTGGGCCTCCTCTAACTCTTTGGAATACACACTCACTTGTTAAATGGTTTTCTATGATGTTTAGTATTCATGCTTGACCTCAAGATTAGTGTGTTTACTCTTCTTTGGAACATCTCAAAGACTTTAGAATACTTAAAGTTTGATTTTCTTCTTTCTGTCATATATGTAATTAATTCATTTTCTGGTTTCATCCTGTTTTTATAACCCCCAAACTAATTATAATTAACATTATTGTTTGACTAGTCAGTATTGTCCATTTATGAGCACTCACTAGTTTTTTTTTTTTTTTTCTTAGAGAGCGGGTGTACTTGTCAGAGAGAGAGAGAGAGGTGATAGCAACCCCCATGGGGCACGGTCATGCTAAATATCTTCCCCTCCATTTCTCCATCCTGTCAGGATTCTGGGCACAGATGCACATGCACCCAGTGTGTTTCTCAAGCTTCTAGGCTTGGGATTCACACTCTGGGGTCGGTCACGTGGGATCTGGCTGCCTTAATCTCCAGGCCATGGTGCCAGCCCCATGTTTGCCAGGTTTTTTTTTTTTTTTTTTCTTACTTTTTCTCTCTGCATGTAACTTCTCCTGGATTTAATTTCTTTTATCCTGAACTGTATCCCATCAGTGTTGTTTATATGAAGATATTTTTTAGTTGCACCTCATTCTAGAATAGTAGTTTAACTAGCTATGAGATTCTAAACTGACAGTTATTTCCTCTCAGCTCTTAGTTACTGTTGAGAAATATGGTAGTAATTTGTTATTTTTCCCCCCTAATTGCTTATGATATTTTACCTTTCTTCTCATTTTTTTTTATTTGCTAGAGAGCTCATGTGCTCATTGGGAGATGGGTAGGGACAGGGAGAGAGAGAAAGCACCCACAGAAAATGGTCATGCCACAATTCCTTCTCCTCCATCTCTCCTTTTTCTGGGGTTTTGGACATGAATGCACAATGCACCTGCATGTTTCTCAAGTTGCTGGGTCTGGAACTTTAATTGCGTGGTTGACCATGTGGGATCCATCCACCTTAACCACTAGGCCAGTGCTGGGCCCTTTCCTTTTCTGTCTGGATTCTGCATTCCATACATTGCTTTAAAATGCCTCCTGACGTTGTGCGGTATTTGACTTTCTGCACCCGCCTTATTTTACTGAATAGAATGTCTTCTGGACTCATCTGTGATACCACAGATGACAGGATTTCATTTTTATTTTGTCTGAATAATATTTAATTGTGTAAATGTGCCACATTTTCTTCATTCATTCATCCATGGACACTTAGATGAGTCCATGTTCTTGGCTCTCATGAGCAGTACTGCAGTAAACAGACATGCAGACGTTACCTCTTTGATGAGGTAACTTCATTTCCTTTGAATATATATCCAGTAGTGGAATTACTGGATCATCTGGGAAAATCCAAAAAAGTTGATCTTAGAAGTAGAGTAGTGTGGAGGGCAGGGGTGGCAGGTGGTGTGGTAGTTAAGAGCACTAGACTCCCACATGCCGACCACAGTTCAAGTCCCGGATCTGGTGGCTTCCTTTCCTCTCTTTCTCTCTCTCATGCTGTTGCTCTCTTGTCAAGTTAAAAACAAACAAACAAAATAAATAAATAAAATAAGTAAAATTTAAAAAAATAGTATAGCGGGCCCAGTAGATGGCGTGGTGGTTATGGTGGCTGTACTCGCACGTGACTGACCATGGTTTGAGTTCCAAACCTGGCAGCTTGTGTTTCTACTTTCCCTCTCTCTCTGTGTCTCTCCCTGGTCAACTTTAAAAATGATAATAATAAAATAATGACGATGAATAAAAAAAAAAGTAGAGTTGTATAGTGGTACCCAGAGGCTGGGAAGGTTTGAAAGGCTGGAGACGGGAAAGATTTGTCATTGTGAACAAAGTTATAATTAGATAGGAATAAGTTCTAGTGTTCCCTTGCACAGCAGGGGCACTATAATTAACAATAATATATATTTCAAAATAGCTAGAAGAGAAGATTTTGAATGTTTCCACCACAAAGAAATTATTAATGTTTAAGATGATGGATATGCCAATTACCCTACATTGATATTTACATATTGTGTACATGGACTCAACTATCACATTGTACCAAGTAAATACACACGCATATGTGTGACTCTGCAAATATGCCTCCTATATATGTGTTGCTTAGAAGTACCTCCTTAAAAAAAAAGTACCTCCTATACCTCATAGCTATAAGCAAATTCTACTACATATTTTTAAAAAGAATTATTTTAAATTTATTTAATTTATTTAATTTGATCAGAGAGGGACAGAGTGAGAGAGAATAAGAGAGAGATGGAAAGTGAGAAAGCAAGCCAAGCCGCCAGGTCTGGGACTCGAACTGTGATTAGCCATGTGGGATTCAGGTGCCCTTAACCACCATACCACCTGCTGACCCCTACATATTTTTTTTTAAGAGAGAGATTTTTGCTATAGAGTACATGCACTCACCACAGAGACAGAGAGACAGAAAGCAAGAAATCACTCCCCCAGGGGGATGGCCATGCCACAGTCCCTTCTCCTCCATTCTCCTCTTGGTATCTTGGGCACACAAGTACCCATGCCTGGCGTGAGTTTTAAGCCACCTGGTCCAGGACTCAAACCATGGTCAACTACATGGGAGTCCAGCAACGTAACTGTTACACCATCTGCTAGTCACTCTACTACATACTTTTAACATTTTATAATTTTATTTCTTAAATTTTCCTCTTTCATTCATTTAAAACTTATTTTTCATAAGTTTTCTATGGTGTAAGGTAGTAACCTTGTAATGTAAAATGAAAACGAAAGCAAAACACCCCCACACCAACTTCAAACAACTGATCCAATATTGAGAAGAAGAATTTACACTGAAATTTTTGTTTTTATTTTTGTTTTTAGTGCCTTTATGGAGTGGAGTGAATGTTGCTGGTGTTGCTCTCAAGAGTTTGGACCCTAAATTAGGAACTGATTCAGACAAGGAACAGTGGAAAAATATCCACAAACAAGTTGTTGAGAGGTAACAATACTTACTCTGCTTCTTAATGCCTTAATAATCAGTCTTAAGAATAAATTTTAGGGACCAGCTGTTAGGATAATGGCTATGTTGCTGGACTCCCATGTAGTTGGCTGTGGTTCAAGTCCTGGACCAGTGGCTTAAACTCACACTGGGTGCGTGTGCATGCGTGCCCAAGATCCCGAGAGGAGAATGGAGGAGAAGGGATTGCGACGTGGCCATCCCCCCTGGGGGGTGATTTCTCGCTTTCTGTTTCTTTGTCTCTCTCTGTCTGTCTGGTGAGCACACGTGCCCTATAGCTAAAACCTCTCAAAAAAAAAAAAAAAAAAAAAGAAAGAATAAATTTCACAGACCAAAAGTCCGTAATTGACCTTAGCTTTTTTGTGAGATAAATAACTTGAGGTTTCTGAAAATCCCCAAATTCAGACTTACATCATGTGTAGTTTTCTTTTGCCAGCATTCTTCCAAAGGAAATAAAGGACTTACTGTTTCCCCAGAACTTGTATATATCCAATATGAATGTATCTGAGGTGTTATAAAGCATAGTGACTCTGAGCATAGGGTGATTGGAGCTGCGGTGCTGAGGTTTTAACTTCCTTAGCATTTATTAGTGGTTTGATGTTGGAAAATTACTTAAACAATCACAAGCTTGGTTTACTCATCTTTAAAGTGGGGATAGTTATGGAACTTGCCTTTGAAGGCTGTCATAGAGAGTAAGTTAGCACATGCGAGGTGCTGGAGTAGTGCCTTGAACTGATGACATGTCATCATAGGACTGGATGGAAACTCACATGGAGTGGATGCAGGGGATCAGAAATTAATGAGATTTGTTCTCTTATAAATGAGGATCTGACTCCACTTTTACCTATGGTGTACCTCTTCATGATCTTGGATTCTATCTTAACAGTACACATGGTTCTCCTTCATACTCTAGCCCAGATACACATTAGTAGAAGTCAGAGAATTTAGGAATCCCCTTTTGGATGTTCACAGTTGGAAGATTAAATCTAACAGCCACAAGTCCACTGTATGTATACTATGGCAGCAGTCCTACAAAATGTGTACTAATTGGGGCAGAGACTACGAAGTCACATAATATAACAAAAAAAGTGATTATGTGTGAACATTTATTGTCTAACTGTCTTTTAGTTTCAAAAGTTAAAATCACTTAAAACTCACAAGTTGGGGCCAGCAGTTGGTATTGTAGCTAAGGGGCTAGATGCCCACATGACTGAATGTAGTTTGAATCTTGGACCCGGTGGCTTGAGTATCACACTAGGCACATGTGTGTTCGCACAAAACCCTGAGAACTGAATGGAGGAGAAGGGCCACCCACTGGCAGCTAAGGAACATGTTTTAACTAATACTGGTTTCTGTGTGTCCTGTAGCCCATCTGTCTCCCATAGGGAGGTACAGTGCTCTTTTATCTACCCAGTCCTTAATAATTGTATCACAAAAAATTCTAGTTCCTTTGTTTGTTTGTTTGTTTTTGGAGAGGTTTTTGCTATAGGGTGCATGCTCTCACCAGACAGAGAGACAGAAAGCGAGAAATCAGCCCCCAGGGGGGATGGCCACACCGCAATCCCTTCTCCTCCATTCTCCTCTCGGGATCTTGGGCACTCATGCACACGCGCCCAGCTTGAGTTTTAACCCTAGGCATGCTGGGTGGCTGTGTGCATGCCATGGTCAGGGCTGGCTGAGGCTGGGGTGAATTTTGGCATGGGGACCTTGTTGGGGATGCCTGTCTCTATTTATCTCTGTGGGAAAAAAGGAAGGAACTTTTTTTTTAAATAGTGGAAACAGGTAGTGAAGAATAGTGAAGAGCATTTTTTTAAAGAATTATTTTATTTAACTTTATTTATTTATACATTTCATTTTAAATTTGACCAGAGAGGGAGTGAAAGAAAGTGAGAAAGTAAGCCGCCAGGTTCAGGACTCGAACCGTAGTCGGCCATGTGGGAATCTAGCACCTTTAACCTCCACATCATCTGCTGGCCCCGTGAAGAACATTTTTTTAAGTTTACTTATTTCTTCCATTAGAAAGAGAGGCAAAAAGGTAGAGAGACACAAGGACACAGGCACCACCTACAGGGTCCTCACACTGACATCCACCTTTGGCCTCAGCCAGCCCAGATCAAGGCCTGCACGTGCACGTGGCATGTATAGCGAGGCCTCGGATATAAACTGGGGCACTCCTGTGTGGGCCTAGCCTTGTAGAATGGGTGGCTGCTGCTCCACCACCTGGTCCTGAGTAGTGAAGAGTATGGGGACCAGCAGTTATGTCACTGGACTCCCACGTAGTCAGCTGCAGTTCAAGTCCCGGACCCAGTGGCTTAAACTCATGCCAGGCACGTCTGCGTGCGTGCCCAAGATCCCAAGAGGAGAATGAAGGAGAAGGGATTGCGGCATGGCCATTCCTCCTGGGGGGTGATTTCTCGCTTTCTATCTCTCTGTCTCTCTCTGTCTGTCTGGCAAGCGCATGCGCCCTATAGCAAAAACCTCTCCAAAAAAAAAAAAAAAAGTATGAAACTTACTTCTTTTTCATAAACAATTTTTAGGACATTTTTAATAGAGTAACATTGACGTATAAATTACTTCAAAGTAGATGCTTGAAGAATATTATGTTTTCTCTAGATTGACTTCTCATGAGTTTGATTTTCTCACTTTCTACAATTGTAGTGCCTATGAGATTATCAAGCTGAAGGGGTATACGTCTTGGGCTATTGGACTGTCTGTGACAGATCTGGCAGGATCAATTTTAAAAAATCTTAGGAGAGTGCATCCAGTTTCCACTATGGTCAAGGTAGGCTTAAATTAAATCTTCATTCATCACCCTCCTCTACATTTGAGCCTTTTCTGTGGGCCAGGCATTGCACAGAATGTTGAGAATATAATGGTGAACAAAGATGTCGGAGACCCTGACCTCACTGAGTTTAATGAAAGACATGGATCTAATAAAACAATTACAAAACAAAACATGTAATAATAAATTGTGCCAAGAGCTATGATGGAAAACTATAAAGTGCTAAAAATACACAACAGGAGAATTTAACTACTCTGGAGAAGGGGCATGTGTGGTAGTTAGGGGGAAATTCCTAACTAAGATATGACCTCACCTGAGTGATTAGGAGTTCATTTGGAAGGCTGGACTCACATTCCAAGCGGAGGGAATACATGTACAGAGTATCTGAAGTAGATATAAGTGGGGAGTAGTTGGGATCTGAAAAAAGGTTCAGTTGCCAAAGTGTAGAGAAAAAAAGAGTGCTGGGACCAGTCAGTGGTATGGTGGTTGAGGTGACTGGATCCCACACGGCCAACTACACAGTTCAAATCCTGGACCTGGCAGCTGGAAAATCATGCCAGGCACGTGTGCATGTGTGCCCAAGATCCCAAGAGGAGATTGGAGGAGAAGGAATTGCAGTGTGGCCATCCCTCCTGGGGGATTATTTCTCACTTTCCCTCTCATTGTCTGTCTGTCTGTCTCTCTCTCTGGTGAGTACACACATCATAAGACAAAAACCTCTAGAAAAAAAAAAAAAAGACAGGTGTATGTGCATATACCTAAAATCTCGAGAGGAGAAGGGATTGTGTGGTGGCCATCCCCCTTGAGGGATGTTCTCTCCCTTTCCTTCTCTCTGTTTCTCAAGTGAGCGCACATGCTCTACAAGAAAACAAAGCAAAACAAAACAAAAATCAAAGAGAAGTGCATGATGAGGTTGCAGAAGTAGCAAGGTCAGGCTACAAAAGCCTTATGAAGGGTTATTGATTCTTACTTTAAGAGCAATGGAAGGCAGTAAAAATGTTTTGTGTTAAAAAGATTTCTGTGATGGAACCAGCAGGTGGCATGGTTAAGTTGCTGGATCCCTTATGGACAACCACGGTTCGAGTCCTAGACCCAGCAGCTTGAAACTTACATTGGGCGTATGTGCATTCATGCCCAAAATCCAGAGAGGAGAATGGAGGAGAAGGAATTGCAGCATAGCCATCCCCACTCTGAGGTGATTTCTCACTTTCCCACTTTCTGTCTGTCTCTGATGAGTGTACATGCTCATGGCAAAAACCTAAAATAAAAAAAAAAAACTTTAAAAAAGATTGCTGGGGCTGTGATGGAGAGAATAGATTTGAAGGGACAAGAGTAGATGAAGGGAAATTTGCAGGAGCTCAGAACAGAGAGGGTGGTAGTAGTAGAGTTGAATAGAAAGGGACAGATTTGAGATACTTTGTATTTAGAAGATAAAATTATAGGAGTTTGTAGTGGAATGAGTGGGAAATGAAGGAGAGAGGTCATTCTTAGGTTTCTGTTTGCACATGTAGATGTGATAGAAAGGTGGTGATATCACTCACTCAGGAAGGGAATACTCACAGAACCAGGTTTAAATATCATATTTGCAGTTTTGGACAAGTTGAATTTGAGGTGCCTTTGAGGTGTATCTCATTGGAAGTAAACTGTTAAGTATGGCTTCAAGAACTCATGAAATAAGTTTGTTTGAAGCATCATCAATAGTGTATTAGTGGGGACCAGCAGTTGGCATAATGGCTATGTTGCTGGACTCCCATGTAGTCGACCATAGTTCGAGTCCCAGACCCAGTGGCTTAAACTCAGGCCGGGCGCATGTGCGTGCGTGCCCAAGATCCCGAGAGGAGAATGGAGTAGAAGGGATTGTGGTGTGGCCATCTCCCTAGGGGGTGATTTCTCGCTTTCTTTCTTTCTTTCTGTCTGTCTCTGTCTTTCTGGTGAGCATATGTGCTCTATAGCAAAAACCTATTCAAAAGAAAAAAAAATACAAAGAAAAAAAACGTGTATTAATGGGCCAGCTAGTGGCATGGAGGTTAAGGCAGCTGGTTCACACAGAGCCAACTATACGGTTCAAGTCCCATACCTGACAGGTTGAAAATCGCACCAGGAGCATGTAGGTACGTGCCCAAAATCCCGAGAGGAAAATGGAGAAGGGGTTGTGGCCTGACCATCCTCCCTGATGGGTACTTTTTCAATTTCCCTTTCTCTCTGTCTCTGGCGAGTGCACATACCCTATAGGAAATTTTTAAAAATAATTATTTAATTTTATTCATTGTCATTAATTATTTTTTATTTTATTTAAGTCAACCAGAGAGTGACAGAGAAGGAAAGTGAAAATGCAAACTGCCAGGTCCAGGACTCGAACCATGGTCAGCCATTTGGGAGTCCAGCCACCCCAACCATCACACCACCTGTCAGCCCCAGAAATTTTTTTAAAGAGATTTTTGCTGTAGGGCGCATGTGCTCACTGGAGAGACAGAGACAGAAAGAAAGCAAGAAATCATTTCCCTGGGGGCATGGCCATGCCACAGTTACTTCTCCTCCACTCTCCTCTTGGGATTTTGGGTATGTCCACACACGTGCTCAGTGTGAGTTTTAAGCCACTGGATCCAGGACTCAAACCACAGTTGACTGTGGGAATTCAGTGACATAACCATTGTGCCTTCTGTTAGTCCCACCCTATAGGAACTTTTAAAAGAAAAATTTATTAGGACTCTTAGAAGCCAATTCAAACTAGCTTATACAAAAGAAAGAAAAAGAGAGAAAAAGAAAGAGAGGGAGAGAGGGACAAACGGAGGGAGGGAGGAAGGAAGGGAGGAAAGAAAGCAAGCCAATATATTGGCTGATGTAACTGAAATGGCAAGGAGGCCTGATCCAGGTGTTCAAAACTATATTATCAAAATTGTCTTTTCTCTCCATTCTTTGGCTTATCTTTCCACTCTGTTGTGCTTATCTCACATGGACTCTTTCCAAGAGACAAAAGAATGACTTCCTGTAAAGGCTTAAGAGTTGTTGTCTCGGGACTCTGACTCTTCCTTTGCCCATGTTAATTTCCAGATAACTGCCAATTCTGGAAGCACATACTTGCTCATGTGATATCTGTCAGTTGAGGGGAGGAGCAGTTCTCCAAAGGGAAAGTGAGGTTCTGTCAACAAAACAGAGAAGAGATGTTAAACAGCAAAGACAGCAGATATTCCCTATACTTAGTTACTGAAGCTGTCCATTTTTTCTTTTTTTCTTTCTTTTTTTGTTTGAGAGGTTCTTGCTATAGGGTGTGTGCGCTTGCCAGAAAGACAGAGAGAGACAAAAAGCAAGAAATCACCCCCCGGGGAGATGGCTACACCGCAATCTCTTCTCTTCCATTCTCCTCTCGGGATCTTGGGCACACATGCACATGCGTCCAGCATGAGTTTAAGCCACTGTGTCTGGGATTCGAACTGCGGTTGACTACATGGGAGTCCAGGGACATAGCCATTATGCCAACTGCTAGTCCCAAAGCTGTCAGTTTTCATGAGCTTGCCTAAAGAGAATGTATAAGAGAAGAAAAATTAAGACTGAGCCTTGAAGAATTCCAGTATTAAAAGTTGTTTATGGACCAGCAGATGGCATGGTGGTTAAGGCACTGGACTCCCACATGACTGACCACAGTTCAAGTCTCAGATCTGACAGCTTGAAAATCATGCCAGGCACTTGTGCCTGCGTGCCCAATATCCCAAGAGGGGGATGGAGAAGAGATTGAGGACTGGCCATCCCCCAGAGGGTAGTGATTTCTCGTCTTTCTCCCTCTCTGTCTTTCTCTGACCAGTGCATTCACCCCATAGCGAACTTAAAAGACACACACACACACACACACACACACACACACATATACACACACAAATGCACACATGCACATACAGAATCATTTATAGTCTCTTATTTTTTTGCCCAATCACTTCTTTTTTTTTTTTTTTTTCTTTAGGGAGGCAATTGCTATAGAGTGTGTGCACTCACTGAAGAGACAGAGAAAAACAGAGACAGAAAACAAGAAATCAGCCCCTGGGGGGTGGCCACGCTACAATCTCTTCTGGTCGTCTTCTCTTGGGATTTTGGGCATGCACACATTCACACATACATGCCCAGGGTGAGTTTTTAAGCTACTGGGTCCAAAATTCAAACCATGGTCGACTACATGGGAGTCCAGTGATGTAACCGTTACACAAATCTACTGTCACTCATTTTTACTACTTTACATCTTTAGCAAACAAATTTAGGTATATACCCAGATTTTACATTAATATAATGAACTGAATTTTCTGGGTCAAATATGAGAATCTTTAAAAAGCATGTGTAGGGGCCAGCAGGTGGTGTGGTGGTTAAGGGCATTGGACTCCCACATAACCAACTGTGGTTCGAGCCCTGGACCTGGCGGCTTACTTTGTCACTTTACCTCTCTCTCTCTTTCTCACTCTGTCACTTCTAGTCAAATTAAAATAAATGAATAAATAAGTAAAGTTCAATAATATATTTTTTTTAAAAAAAAGTTTATGGAAAATATACATTATGAAAAAAACTGGATTTCAGGACCAGCAGTTAGCATAATGGCTATGTTGCTAGACTCCATGTAGCCAACTGCAGTTCAAGTCCCAGACCCGGTGGCTTAAACTCACACTGGGCACATGTGTGTGTGTGCCCAAGATCCCTAGAAGAGAACAGAGGGGAAGGGATTATGGTATGGCCATCCCCCCTTGGGGTGATTTCTCACTTTCTGTTTCTCTGTCTCTCTCTGCTTTCTGGTAAGTGCACACGTCCTATAGCAAAAAACCTCTCAAAAAAAACCAAAAAACAAAAAAAATGGATTTCTTTTTTTTTTTTTTTTTGCACCAAAATGGGCTTGTACTTTTATTTTCCACAAACTGGTGTTTTTGTGTATGTGTGTGTGGCCAGAGGGTAAGTGTGCTCACCAGAGAGCGAGGAGAGGGAGAAAGAAAAGAAGAGGGAGAGAGAGAAAGCAATCCCAATGGGATGTGATTATGTTGTAACCCTTCCTCCTCCATGTCTCCATTTTATAAAGATTTGGGGCATTCACACATGCAGTTGGTCTGTTTTTCAAGGGACCAGGACTAGGATTTGAACCGTGGCTGGCCATGTGGGATTCTGCTGCCAAGCACTGGGCTTAATTGTTGTAATACAGGCCTGGCCCTTCTACAAACTTTTTGATGTCCTCTTATATATTAGAAATTCTCTTTAACTATTTCCTTGCTTCACAGCCAGTCCAAAGGTAAATGAGAGTATCTTTGACCAGACATGGAGCTTCCAGGGCAGAGGGCAGGCCGAGGGGGGCTGGCAGCAGGTCATGGTTACACACAAGGCCAGGCAAAGCCCCTGTGGTCAGGGGCCCTGGCTCCCAGCCCAACCAGCAGCCTTCAGATGACATGATGGGATGGACATGAATTCTCCAGATCCAGTCTGAGAAACTCCTTCTAGAGGGAAGAAGAGGTGACAGAAGTTAGAGGAACTGAATCTAAAAACACTAGTGGGGAAGCCCAGGGGCTTCTTCCCCAGCGTGGCAGTGTTCCCACCGACGGCACCCCACCTCTGGAAGCGCATGCTAAAGCTCTAAAGGTCACAAGGGATAGTTAAAGAGTAACTAAGGCTAGGAAAGGAAAGGAAGGCATGTGTGACAGTGGCTGGAGCCTGGCTGACATCTGGTGGGAGAGTGGCCTTCCGTGGCCGGCATAGGCCAGAGTAGGGGCAGTGCGAGTAGGGCGTGGCAGGGGCCATCAAGGATGACACTTGGCTGATCCAATGGAACTCATCAGTTTAGTGTAAAGTGATTACCAAAATGTGGGAGCCGGACTACGGTAGAGAGGTAGCTGGAGAGGCCCTCTGTGGGGCAGAACAGGAGCAAGAGGCTTGTGAGGGGCTAGGCCCAGACACAGCGAGTGGGGAAGACAGCTGAACCCAGCAGCACTTGTGGCTCAGATCTAGGACAAAGCTGAGAGGCACTGCTCCTGAATCGAGGGCCCTCTCTGTTCCTTCAGTGCCAGGTCCTGGTAGTTACAGTCAGACCTGAAGAAAGAACATGGCCACCTGTAATGCCTGATTCAGTCCCAGGGGATGAGCAAAGCCTCCCGTTGCCACCTACGACACTAGATTCAGCCCCGGGGGACTGTAAAGAGCAATGAGTGTGAGGCAGGGAAGCATGAGGGATCTGCTGGGTCTCCCTACCTTCCAGGGCTCATTGCCCATCAGGATTGTGAGCTGCCATGTTGTACTGGCTCTGACAGCTGCCTCTGTGGCCTTGGCTTCAGCTGCATAAGTGGAAGGAACAGGGGGTGCATTGAGCAGAGGTTCCATGGGCTCAGCACGGGGCAGTGCACAGAGCTGTCCCCTGGCCCTCCTTGTCATGAGGTGGTCCCAGGTAGCACCGAGGTGGAGGCAGTGGAGAGGGGCACATGGGCAGGAGTATACCCATGACCACTGGCAAGGGGAGGGACATGGGTCCACGGGGCATGTGGTACCCACTGGCTTTTCTGGGGCCTCACCTCTGGAGGCCCAAGATACCTTGTGCAGCATTGCTTGTCCAGACTCGGTGTCCCTGATGTGAGGGTACAGCAGAGCCTGCAGCCACTTGCCTTCACTGTTCCCTTGGAGTCTGCACCAGACAAGCTGCTGATCCCACATCTCTCATCAGATAACACGGCATGCCTGGCAGCCTGCCCCTTGGGCAGAAAGATGCCTGGTGAGGGGTAAAGTAAACGTACCTTTCTCGGTCTTGTGAAGGCCTCTGGCACAGTCTTTATGTCACTGAATGTAAGTTCCACATGGTCACGGGTCATAAAGACAGCCAGGATTGAGACAACAGCCACTCCGCCGTCTCCGAGGAATCCCAGGTGAGCGCTGCGGGCACCCCGTGCTCTCGTTCCGCTGCCCTGCTGCACTGCTCCTTTTCCTGCTCAGGTCACTGGGTGACAATCTAATCTTGCCTTTCAGGGCTTATATGGAATAAAAGAAGAAATCTTTCTCAGTGTCCCTTGTGTCTTGGGGCGGAATGGTGTCTCAGATATTGTGAAAGTTAACTTGAATTCAGAGGAGGAGGCCCTTTTCAAGAAGAGTGCAAATACACTTTGGAATGTCCAAAAGGATCTGGTATTTTAAAGCCTTTTGATGTTTTATTGTTTTACAGAACAGAAGAGAACAGACTGTATTTTACATTTTAAAAGTATTTTTATCTGATCTGTACAAAATTAAAAAGAAATCGGAGACCCATGCTATAACTTCAGTCATTTGAGGTTAGAAGGAGAACATTTTTGGTAAAGAGATTTCTTTATGCATTCCTTACCTCTCTGTTCTAATGATACCTGGTCTGTTAAGTTGGACTTTTGAAGTATGTCATATACATAAGCGTTGCCTTCAGCTTTATTAGAATATAAATAACAACCCATTATAATATAGGACTTCTGATTCTTCCCACAAACAAGTGCCTTTTCTAGTGAAATTGTATCTTGTGCCTTCTTTTACTAGGGCACCAGCATATTCACTTTATATTGCTACATTAAGTTCACGTGTATAACCTTTACTAATATTCATTACAGAGCATGTGTCCCTGTGTGGAGCGAGACAGAGAGAGAAGGAGGAGCACCTTCCACAGGGTCTAGTCACATCACAGTCCCTTCCCCTAGCCCTCCAGCCTGTCAGGTCTGGAGCACTCGCCCATGTGCCCAGCATGTTTTAGGCTCACCACACCAGGGATTTCAACTGTGGAAAAGACTGACTTTTTTAAATTGCTGGTGAGTGTATGCATTTGCTAGAGGTGGAGAAAGGGAGAGGGAGAAGCACACTCATGGAATGCGGTCATGCTTCCATCTCTCCTCCTCCATTTCTCCATCCCGGGGGGATTCTAGGCCCATAAGCACATGTGTACATATGTCCCTTCTGCACTTTTCAAGCCACTGGACCGAGATTTGAACTGTGGTCAGCCAGATGACAGCTGTCTCCCTTAGCCACTAGGCTGTGGGGCCAGCCCAATACCTGTTTTTAAGACCTTACATATTAAAAGATTTATAACTTTATGATGTAGAAAAATATAAATGAAATATGTTTAACTCTGCACATATACCAGATTATGTAGACTCAAAGAGTTGGTGCAGGGACCAGCAGTTAGCGTAATGGCTATGTCGCTGGACTCCCATGTAGTCGACGGCGGTTCTAGTCCCGGACCTGGCGGCTTAAACTCATGCTGGGTGTGTGTGTGTGCATGCCCAAGATGCTGAGAGGAGAATGGAGGAGAAGGGATTGCAGCGTGGCCATCCCCCCTGGGGGGTGATTTCTCGTTTTCTCTCTGTCTGGCGAGTGCACACACCCTATAGTGAAAACCTCTCCAAAAAAAAAAAAAAAAAAAAAGAGTTGGTGCAGTGTCACTACGGAAATGCAACACAGGGAGCTTAGGTCATTCCGAGTCATCTGTTCAGCAAACTACTACTGCGTTTTCTGTGCAATGGTTAGGTCAATATGGCATGACTTCTGTCTTTGAGTATCCACAGTGAGTACTTGGGTACCTCAGCTCCTAGATTATTGGCCTGTGTTCAATAGGAGTCACTTGGTAGCTGCGTCAGTGTCCCAGGATTACCTGCATGCCTCCTGACCTATATCTGCATGCCTATGTTCATACATGCTTATGCACACACACAGTTCCTTGATCACACAAACGATTTAAGGCAGCTTTAGGAAATACATATGAAACAAAAACAGAGAAATCAGGACTATGTGATGTACAAAATGAAGCTTAGGACAGGCCTGTGGGTAAAGTTAGAGGGTATGGCAGGTCCCAAGGTCTTGGAGGGTGGTTCTAGGGAAGGAGCCCCTGTGCGGTTGGAGCCACTGCGCTCACAGTCTGTTCTTCCTGCTGCCTTGCTAGCTTTCATCTTGTCATCTACTACTGAGCGTTATTAGTTTCCCATCGTTCTTTTTTCTTTGTCTTCATGTCTTCCCTTGAATGCATGAAATATGGTTATGAGTTTAGTTAGGACAAGGGGGAAGGGGAGTCTTCTGGGGGTTCTGCCTTTTAAAAAAAGTTTATTTTTTCTGAGAGAAAGAAAAGAAGAAAGCACCCCTGCAGGATCTTGAGGCTGTACTCCACCTCAGCCTTAGCCAGACCCAGACCATGAGCAAAGTGGGGTACTCAGGGGTGTCTCCAGGCGCAGGCCTACAATCTTGAGTTTTGTCTTTTTAAAAAGCTCTAACAGGCCAACAGTGGCATGGTGCTTGGGGTGCTGGCCACATGGCCAACTGTGGTTCCAGTCCTGGACCTGGTGGGTTGCTTTCTCCCTTTCTCTCTCTCTCTCTTTGGTCAAATTAAATAAGTTAATTCTTTTTAAAAAAGCTGTACCAAATTCAAATTTTATTTAGGAAATTGTTGTGGAATTAAGGACTCAAAATGCATAGTTCCTATAGGGAATAGTCTAGGAAATAGAACACTTTATATCACGTAATTCCAAGAAGGCAATATTGTTCCCAAGGGGGTGAAAATTGGTTACTGGGTGGTGGTGGTTAGGGTGACACAAATCTTACATATTTGAAGGATTTGGCTCTCCAAAACTTGGCCCTACCTGACAAAATCTTATTCCTTAATATTTAATCTAATAATGAGGGGGACAAATTTGGGAGAAAATGTCTAAAAAGTCTCTTGCACTGATAATGAAAAAAGGTTGAGAAACACTGCTCTACATTTTTATGATGTTTTTCAGATGGGTATTATATATTATGCCCAAATGAGTTAGAAAATTATTGGGTAAAATGTGGTGGCAGGGGACCAGCAGGTGGTGTGGTGGTTAAGGCACTGGACTCACACATGGCTAACTGTGGTTTGAGTCCTGGACCTAGCAGTTTGCTTTCTCTCTCTCTGGTCAAATTAAAAAAAATAATGATAAATAAAAGTAAATAACTTAAAAAATATGGGAGAAGTAGAAACCTTGGTTTATTGCAGACTGATTTTGGATTCTATATTTTCACTTTATAAAATAATGAGTTAAGCTTTCCCTTCCACTTGGAGAAATGAGCACCAATCAGCTGCACTGATCAAAATTCTCAGTTTCATATCTTACGTCAAAATCCGCTTCTAGAAAGTGTGTAAACTTTAGTTTTTCTACCTCAGCTCACATTTGAGGTGGTTAATAAAGCTCTGAGGTCGCTTTCGCCTAAAGCACTGGTGAAAAATTCCCAGAAAGCCCTTTACACCCAGTTTGATTAGAAGTGAAGTTACTTCGTCTTCCTGGCGGCTGGGTTCTGGGCAATCTGCGCTTCCAGAGCTGAGGCCCGTCAGTTAATTGTGCCTGCTGCACTGCCAGCGCTGGAGCCCAAGGGTCTGCT